GGGTGAATGCGTCTGATGAAGTGGGCATTCACCCACGAAAGCTTATGCTCCAATACTTCTGTTAGTCTTAAAGGTGCCACAGGACCCTCTGTTGCTTTTTACATGGTGTTTCATGTAATTTTATAACTTGTAGTGAGGAGAAAACACCTAGAACCCTTTGGAAAGAGTACTTTTGTATGTAAACCAATGGATTCCACTGTAATATTCAATGAACAGCTGCTTTTGGAAGGAAATAGCCTTTTGTTAGGTTGGTTTTGGTTTTTGGTACAGCAATTAGAAGCATGCTGAAAATGTTATAGCTAGAACAGATGGGAACAGTTCTATTCATTTAAGTATAAGTTTTTAAAAAATTACAACTCCCTTTCTGAGGTTTTTTAAAATAGTCACTTTCATGTAAGACTCATCAACATGTTTTATACTCTTTCTGCTGTTTCTTTAGCAGAAGTTACTGAACTCTATGATGAAAGAGATGTTGCCATCATCATTCAAATTAAAATCGATCTAGATAATGTTGTTAAAAGCAGTCATTCCAAACACAGATGCAAAATGAATGTGTGCCAGTTTGAAAAGGACAGCACGAACAAGGAAAAATAAAAAGCTTCTGAGAGTATTGATGGCTGTAATCTTGTATGTTTAGGCTCTTGGGGTCTGGTGAATAGGGCACTAGACTGGAAGTCATAAGACACCAGGGTTATATTCCTGGTTCAGACCTATCATGTGACCTTGGGCAAATCACTTCACTGTTCTGTCTTTTTCCTGTCCACCCTTTGCCTGTCTTTCTATTTTGGGTATATCTACACTGCAATAACACAGCTGTAGCTGGCCCATGTCAACTGACTTGGGCTTGTGGAGCTTCTGTAAATTGCATAAAGTTGCAGTATAGACTTCTGGGCTCGGGCTGGAGCCTGGGACCCTCCCACCTCATGAGGTCTCAGAGTCTGGGCTCTATCCAGCCTGAGCTTCAGCACCTACACTGCAGTTTTATAGCCCCTCAGCCCAAGCTCCGCTGGCCCGAGTCAGCTGATGTGGGCCATCCATGGCTGTTATACTGCAGTGTGGACATATGCTTAGAATGTAAGCTCTTCAGGTCAGGGACTGCCTCTTACTAGGTCTTTATACAGCCTCGTATAGTGGAGCCTTAGTTTTAGTTTGGGCCTCTAGAAGCTACTGTTATACAAATAAGGAGAAGTAGGATAAGTTCTGGTAACTTGACTAGGAAGCATCCAAGGAAAACTCAGGTGTTGCAGGCAGGGGAGTTCTTATGATTGAGCAGATAGTACCTATTTTTTTTTAAAGGCAGTATTAAATCAGTGACCCAGCATGGAATCTGAGTGGGCAATCTACTGCTTGTGTTGCTCTCTTCAGTTCAATCATACAATGAAGAGGTCATTCAATACTCTATGGCACTTTTGCAAAAGTAGAGAGAGGCTAGGTCTACACTACAGCGGTGTTCCGACCTAAGATACGCAACTTCAGCTACGTGAATACCGTAGCTGAAGTTGCGTATTTTAGGTCGGCTTACCTGGTGGTGAGGACGGGGGAAAGCCGACCGCTGCCGCGCTGCCGCCGACTCCGCTACCGCCTCTTGTCGAGGTGGATTTCCGGAGTCGACGGCAGAGCGATCAGGGATCGATTTTACCGCGTCCTCACGAGACGCGGTAAGTCGATCCCCGATAAACCGATTGCTACCCGCCGGATCGGCGGGTAGTGAAGACGTAGCCTGTGTTAGCATATACACCTCTACCCTGATATAACGCTGTCCTCGGGAGCCAAAAAATCTTACCACGTTATAGGTGAAACCGCATTATATCGAACTTGCTTTGATCCGCTGGAGTGCGCAGCCCCGCCCCCCCGGAGCGCTGCTTTACCACGTTATATCCGAATTCGTGTTATATCGGGTCACGTTATATCGGGGTAGAGGTGTACTTTATGAACAGGGTCACATAAGAGACTTTCCTAGTCTACCAGCATTCAGACATGTAAATGGGGAGAAGGGTTAGAGAAGCAAGTGCTATAGAATACATCATCATAACTGCTTTATATAATTAAAAGAACACAATACTTTTTTGTGAGTAGAATTGACTTTAATTGTTTCTAAACAAAATAGCTTGTTACTTTTTATAGTTTTGATTATAATTTGATGCCTTTTTAGGCTTGTAACTATTCTAGTTTTTATTATCCACCATTTCATAAAATATAAAGAAAACCTTGTGTATTCATTGTTAACAGGTTTAAGCACTGTGGGTTTTCAAGCCAGCATAACAAATCTTGGAGATGCATTTTTTCACTGTTGCAAATGTACATTTCAGGCCATTCATAGAGTATAAAATCACCAGCTTTTAGAAGTTCCCCCATGTGTCCTCTTCCAGCGTTCTTTAAGATATAAACCAGTGTCAATTAGAAACTTTTAATTTTATTTCTCTACTGTTCTAGACAACATCTGGAGAAGATGTACGCGACTTCACTAAGGTGCTGAAGAACAAGTTCCGGTCAAAGAAGTATTTTGCTAAGCACCCACGACTTGGCTACCTTCCTGTGCAAACAGTTCTTGAAGGCGATAACTTGGAGGCGTAAGTTTGAATGATGCATGATCTCTGCCATGTGGTTCATAAGCCTCTTCCACCCTTAAAAAAACCATCAAAAACAAAAATAATGTGAAGCAACAGTAGCAGAACCTCAGTGAGGTTCATTTTCTGTGAACCCTTTTTTGTTTTATTTTAATTTCCTTGCTTGTTTTCTAGAAATAATGTTAAACTTTGGTTGTATAAATATGATGCCATAAAGTCATGGAATTCAGCAAATAGTGATGTTGGAATTCTTTTTTCTCATGGAGAACAGTTTTTGTTTTTGTTTGTTTTTAACTGCTTATCAGGAGAGGCCCCTTTCAGTAGAACAAAATTAAGATGCATTAGAGAGGCAATGAGAGTAGTTCCATTAATTGACTTTCCTTTATTTCCTGGAATTTCAAGTGCTACAAACAGAATACTTGTCTTAAAGTGAATGAAACCATTCTGTATAGCGAAACATATATGCATGGTTTGCCTGAATATTGTGGCTGTAGCCATTATTGGTCATTCACTTACATAACCAGTACGGTACCTCTGTATTTTTAACACATAATAATAATTAATAAAAGACTGAGCATAAGAGGTTAAGAAACAAGATCAAATGGCCAGATTTCAAGATTGCTGAGGGCCTGAAATATGCATCAGGGTTTAATCTGGTCCCTGGTTTCAAATGTGAATATATTGCCTGTTTAAAATAGTCTCTCAGTAGTCCATATTTTAAAAACAAAACTAAGGAACAATGTGGCACATCATGTGGCACGATTGGTAGTCCATGGTCAGGAGTGGCCAAGGATTAGAATAGCAGGGATATTTCAGCAGGTCAGGATAAAGGTGTATTGTCAAACTATGAGGGAAGCATACATATAGTCTCTCTGTAAAGGGTGGTTGTAGCCCATGTTATCAGTGCTTCCCTTCCATAGGCAATAAAACAGCCCTAAGTATTTTCTCTTTAAAAAAAACCTCTCCCTTATAGCATTTTTGTTTATTATTTGCTATGTAATAGAAAAATATTGTAGTAATGACCTTGATTTTAGCCTTTTAATTTTTCTACAAATAAGTTGTTATTAGTTCAGTTTCACAGGTGACTTTAAAGAAAAGTTGCAGCAATTAAATGGAAGAAATTCCAAATTTAAACAAGCCAGACATGGTTTTAGATGATTAATTCAATGTGTGATGTGTTTGTGTATTTTTTAAAACTCCCTTTTTTAAAAAAAATGCTTCAGTTACTGTCCTATCTTCCATATGGCACACTGCAGTCTCTGTTGCTACTGCTTTTCTGTGTCATAGATGTTGCTAATGTAAATCGTCTGGGTGGGCTGATTGGTAGATAGTTTGTGCTTTTACACCTTATTCTTGCTTAATTGCACTAAAGTTTTTGTTCTGTGGTTTTCTTCTCTTTTTTTTTTTTTTCTTCTTTGCAGTCCTATCACACTCATCAGTATGTGGCCAGAGCAATATGAGTGAGTATGCACAACTCTTGTGTCTAGAAAGCTGAATATGCTGATTGTTTTCTTAATGTTGACTAGTTGCTTACCTATTTGTATGACCTGTTACACACACCTGTCCAAAAGCCCACATAACAGCCTATTTTTTGACAATTTCATCAGTCTTAACTTTTTTTAAAAAACCTATCTTGTCTCTGTAATTATATTACATTAGATACTACTAACATTTTTGTGCTTATTTTCTTTTAATAGTCCCTCCCAGTCTCCACAGCTATTTCATGATGACACACACTCCAGGATAGAGCAGTATGCCACCAGGTAAGAAACACACAGACTCTGCATTTTGGGATGGATTCCTGTAGCGTGAAATGTATGTTATGTTGACTGGACAGTATTTATTAAAAAGGCATGACTAAGTCACATGACTTTTTAATACCCAGAGGTAAGTTAAATCTTTCCAGCCCAAGAGTTGGGGAGTTATCCTAACTAAAATTTAATGATATTGAATGAAATACATAGATCAAAATTGTCGTTGATCAGTATAGAATGGATAGTGTTGCAGAATTACTGTGGGATGTTTCTGCAAATGTTAGTTTCTTTCCCCCTCTACTCTCCATCTCTTACCTTTTAATATGTCTAGTCTTCATAAATAAAGACCCAGCATGGAAAAAGAGATCATTTCTCCTTCAGGTTTTTGAGATACTGGTATTACTCATTTTGTCATCACTGCTAATTGCAAATATCAATTTAACCACTGAACTTCAGCAGAGGGTAAAATAAGTAAGGAATAAACTGCCATTTAATTTGCTTCTGAAACTAACTGAGGAAGTATTGCATTTACTTCCATCCACTTTTAGGATAGGATAGAATAGTATATTTGATTGTAGAATAGTCTCCCAAGAAATACGGTGGAAGCTCTGTGATTTGAGTCATAACAGTAAAAAAGTAGATGGGACAAAACTCTTTGACAGTTCCTTAGGGAACAATCTTGTATCATCTGGGAAGAAGGACTAGGGACTGGTTAGGTCTTTTTCATCTCTGGCGTCTTGAAATTCTAAGAGATTTCTGCATTGTGCATACTAACTCTTTTGGTTTCAGAGTAGCAGCCGTGTTAGTCTGTATCCGCAAAAAGAACAGGAGTACTTGTGGCACCTTAGAGACTAACAAATTTATTAGAGCATAAGCTTTCGTGGGCTACAACCCACTTGTTCGGATGCATATTGAGTGAAACATATCGAGGAGATATATATACACACATTGTCATAACTATAAAGGGAAGGGTAACAGCTCTCTGTGTACAGAGACTCCAAATCCTTTTACCTGTAAAGGGTTAAGAAGCTCGGGTAACCTGGCTGACACCTGACCCAAGGACCAATAAGGAGACAAGATACTTTCAAATCTTGGGGGGGGAAAGGCTTTTGTGTGTGCTCTTTGTTTTAACGGGTTTTTTGCTCTTGGGACTGAGAGGGACCAGACATCAATCCAGGTTCTCCCCATCTTTCTAAACAAGTCTCTCCTATTTCAAACTAGTAAGTAAAAAGACAGCAAGGCGTCTTAGATTTACTTTGTTTTCTCAACTTGTAAATGTACCTTTTTACCAGAGTGTGTATCTTTGTTTGCTGTACTTTGAACCTAAGACAGAGGGGGGTCCTCTGAGCTCTTTAAGTTTGATTACCCTGTAAAGTTATTCTCCATACTGATTTTACAGAGATGATTTTTACCTTTTTCTTTAATTAAAAGCCTTCTTTTTTAAGAACCAGATTGATTTCTCCTTGTTTTAAGATCCAAGGGGGTTTGGATCTGTATTCACCAGGAGTTGGTGAAAGGAGGGTGGAAGGAAGGAGGGGGGATGGTTAACTTCTCCTTGTTTTAAGATCCAAGGGGGTTTGGATCTGTGTTCACCAGGGAATTGGTGAAAGGTTTCTCAAGGCTTCCCAGGGAGGGAATTCTTGTGATGGTGGCAGCGGACCAAAGCTAAGCTGGTAGATAAGCTTAGAAGTTTTTATGCAGGCCCCTACATTTGAACCCTAAAGTTCAAAGTGGGGATCCAGCCTTGACATGGTGGCATAGCGGTGGAGATCGTTTTAACCCAAAAGCCAGTAAGAGATTTTTTTTTTTCCTTCTAGCTGCTTGGAGAGCAGAGCTGAAGGTAGATGCATATCTTATCTGTCCTTGCCTGAAGGCAGAGGTGTTAAGTTTTTTTAACAAGGGGCTTTGTTAAGAGAAGGGTTCAATCAGTGAGCAAACTTTGAACTGGTAAAGGTAATTTACAGGCTGAAGTGTTTTTTTTTTTCTTTTTACATCCTCGGGAGTAGCTTGTTAGAAAGTCTCTGTTAACTCAGCAGCAGCCAGAGCTAAGTACACATCCCAGTCTCAGTCAACTGCAGAGGGTGTGACCCAGCACAAGAAAACAGGAAAATGACTGCCAAAGAACTAACTAACAAAATACAACTGGCCAGACTAGAAGCAGAAGAAAACGAGAGAAAACATCAGAGACTGCTTGAAATTAAAAAACTCGAGGCAGAGCAGCATGAAAGAGAAGAAAAAGCCAAACAGGAGGCCCATGAAAGAGAAGAAAAAGCCAAACAGGAGGCCCA